AAGGAGGAGGATGAGGAGGAAGAGGAGATGGACGTGGATGCTGGCAAGAAGTTGCCCAAGCGCTACGCCAATCAGGTGGGGAGCTGCCTGCCTCTGCCTGCCTCCCCGGAACGCAGGGCTGGGCAGGGTTGGGGCACGGGGTGGCTGGGGCTGGGCATGGTGAGCAGCCATGGCGATGGCTGCGTCGGGAATAACGTGTCCTGCCCGGTTTGGTACTTAGTGAGGAACTGTGTCTGTTTTCTTGCCTCTGAGACACGCTGCAGTCAAATGGAGGACAGGTGGAGATGGGTTGCCTGCGTGCTTTTGGAGGTTTCATCTCAACTAGCAGTGTTTCTGTCCCATTGTGGAGCAATTGGGATAAGATTTCAGTCTCTCTACATGGCTGGGACACGAGGAAGGAAGGGACATCTCAGCCAGTGGGTTTTGCCAGCTTTGGCTGCTGTATTGGCCCTAAAAGACATGCTCAGGTGATCATAGCCAGACCGTCTCTGAAGAGGTTGACTTGTCTGGGCTCTTTATTCCTAAATGTTTTGTAATCTCTAAGCTCTGTCATGTATTTAAAAATACATAAATAAATTAAAATACTGAAGTGGGGACTAAGGCACGGGGGTGCCCAAGCGAGGACTGTGAGCCCCACACTGTAGTCTGAAGCTTAATCAGCAGCTGGGAAGCAGGAGAACAACTTGGGGGAGAGTCTGTTGTGCAGGTTGGTTAGAGAGCAGGAGGGAGCCCCTCCAGTGCTGTAATGCAGGGTTGTGAGCAGTGCATGTTGCCTCTGGAGCACCTGAAGCCAAGTTGAAACCTTCTTTATCTTTGAGCTGTGAGTTTTCCAGAGCTTTAGGAGAGTTGTTACTAACTCTTTTTTTTTTTTTTTTTAATTTCTCCATAGCTGATGCTGTCAGAATGGCTGGTCGATGTTCCCTTGGATCTGGAGCAGGAGTGGGTTGTAGTGGTGTGTCCTGTTGGGAAAAGGGCGCTAGTCGTGGCATCCAGGGTAAGCGGGAGCAGTGATGATGTCTCACTGCCTGGTAAAGGACCTGCACCTGTTTCCCAACCAGCATAAGACTGGCCCATGTATCTGGCTTGACTTTTTTTTTTTCTCTCTCTCGTTTCCTCACAGGGCACAACAGCAGCTTACACCAAGAGCGGCTTCTGTGTCAACAGGTTCCCATCCCTGCTGCCAGGGGGGAACCGCCACAATTCAACGAGCGAGAAAGGTAACAGTGTGAGGGGGCATTTGGGATAGAGTGAGGGGGACCGCCCGCTCCTCCCTGTGAGCGTGTGAGCTGGCAGGCTCGGTGCTGCTCTGCCGGCTTCCCTGAGCCCCGGAGCTGGGCCCTTCCCTGGTGCCAGGGGAGGTTAGCTTCAGGCCTGTTTGTGTATCTCTGGGGATAACTAGATGTGGACAATCTCAGATATTTTTATGCTAGATAAGAACATATTTTAATTAGCTTCTTGGTTAATTGACACTCTTAAACCTCAACATCTTCTCTGTCTTCCGACAGAGAGCTGTGTACAGTGCTGTCTTTCTTAGTACCTCTTGCAGCTGCTTTGCTTGTCCTGAAGAGGGGTTACTGTTGAGTAAATGCCTTTTTCTGACACATGCCTTTGCTTGATGTGCCTCTGACTGGTGCCTTTGTAGCCTTGTTGGACTCCAAGCTAAAGGCTTTCTGTGGCCGCAGCTTCTGTTAGAAGGGGATCCCTCTGCACCTTGCAGGCTTAACGCAGGAGAGACTTGATCTGGCGTTTGCCTGTTGGGTTGGGCAGGCTCTGGAACGTGTCTGGACCTCCCCATGTTTGTGTGCGCAGTGTACTGCATCTTGGACTGCATCTACAACGAGGCAAAGCAGACGTACTATATCCTCGATGTGATGTGCTGGAGAGGACACCCTGTTTACGACTGTCAGGTATTGAATCTCCCCACCCTGCCCTGCCCTCCCTTTTTTGTTCCCTGGCCTGTGAGCTGCTTTGCAGCCAGCACTGAACACTGGGCGATAAGACGGATAATTAATCTTAAGCACCAGCATCTTTACAGCTTCTGGGATGCTGGCTACTGGAGTAATTGGGTACATCTTTTGGGGGTTTTGGGGGAAGTAGCAGAGTTCAGGTGCTGGCTGGTTCTGCAGGCGAAGCTGAGTTTGTAAATCTCCCAGGAAAGTGCAGAGGGATGGAGATGCTCAGCAGGTGCTGATTGGTGATGTGTGGTGAATAGCTGTTAAGTCTCTGCCTCCTTTCACAGACCGACTTCAGATTCTTCTGGCTTTCCTCAAAGATCCAAGAGGAGGAAGGGCTGGGAGAGAAAAGCAGGATTAATCCGGTAAGTTCTTTTGTACTGGGAGGAGAGGGAGGACGGGGGGCAAGCTCTCCTGTTTAGCAGGCTTCAGCACATTCTTTCTTAAGCAGAAGCTTTTTTTCTTTTTTTTGCCTCACAGATCAGGCTTCAAAATGTACTTCTGATGAAATGGGATGCCATGCTCAGGATGTAAATAGAACCACTGAGTATTGTAAATGAGTGTGGGTTTTTTTTTTCTCCAGCCAGAGTGCTGAGGGAGATCAGACTGCAGGGTATCAGCTAACCTCCAGGCCGTTTATAGCTTTCCCTTGAAATGGAATGAAAAACCAGTGTGGTTTCTACAGGGACAGTGTTGGTTGGCAGCCTGACTACAATGGGATTTATTCTTGCGTACTCTTGTGGGCTCGTGAGGCAAGGGGAAAGGCTCATAAAGCTTTAGCCTTCCCTCCTGCATAAACTAGTCATTGAAGTTGTTGGGATGGATGCCAGATTGCTGTCTGGGGTCCCTGCTGAGCAAGGATAAAATGTCTTCCTTTGAAGACTTAGACATAGAGGCCAGACCCCCCCAGCAGCTTGGAAAGTGATTTTTGGGGACAGACATAAGAGATTTGGCAGCCTGGCTTATGGAGCACAGTTTGCAAAGCAGGACCCGATCGCTGGGCGGCCCCCGTGTGTGCTCAGACACAGCGAAGCAGGGCAGCTCCTGTGGGCTGAGCAGATGGGTCGTAACCAGGGATGTCCGCTCCTCTGCCAGCAGCGAGGGTATCTGTATTTGAAGGACATCCTGTTCTGACTCCAAGGGGAATATCCAGAAGACAGCTACCTAAGGAAGGGGGGGTCGTTTCAGCTTTCATTTCCTGGGTGGAAAGATCGCTGTGGCTGAGCCAGCAGCCTGGAGCAGACATCTGTCTGCTTTGCATCCTGCCCAGAGGTCATCATTTTCTATTTTGGTTAAAAGAGCATCTCAGGGTCGACTCTCCTGAAAAATCCTTCCTGCAGCCTTAGACACTTGGAAAAAAGGTATTGGGAGCATGTGGGAGCTGTGTGTCTCCGCCATCCACATCTCTCATTAAATGCCAGAGAGTGGGTAATTTGGAACTGGGACAATAAAATACCCAAAATAGATCTTTCTGGGCATCATGGTGGCAACCCCCAGTCTTCTTTAAAAGAAGACATGTTCTGTTATTGCAGTGAGATTTGTAACATCACAGCAATGTCTGTGCTTTATCCAGCATTGCTGGAGAGAGGTCGGCCGTTCTCTCTAAAGCCAGTTCCCACGCCTGGTGACTAGCATGGTTTTTGTAAGCTTTCATGGAAGCACTCCCAGTTACTCTAGTGGGATATGGTTGGAACCAATGAACAACTTGGTCCTGTTGTTTTGTCTCTAGATTTGGGGTTTGCTTACGAATTGCTGTTCTGAATCGCATCAGGGGTCTGTCTGTAGGCGAGTTGCTATGGAAAGAGTAAGGAATTGAGGAGTCCTGTCACGTTCCCTCTGACTTCACCAGCCAGCGGTTGTACCTAGACCAAGGGAACTGCTGTTCAGGAGCTAACCTAATTCTCTTTTGAGTCTGTTTTTGCTTTTGGGCCCCCATACCCTGTGGCCAGAAGGCCAGCAGTTTAATGGTGTGGGTCCCTGCTTGAGATCTCCCTCTCTAGTTACTTCATCTAATGCCTGTCCCTCACCCTGTCTCTCATGCTGGATCTCACACTGGGGGAAATCCTTCCTCAGCTACCTCCACACCAGTGCTTGATTCAGTGACTTGTTCTGCTTTCTGCCATGCAATTGTCTTTTCTAACCCTCTCTTACTCTTTCAGTTCAAATTTGTGGGCCTGCAGAACTTCCCCTGCTCCTCGGACAGCCTGTGTAAGGTGCTGGCTACGGACTTCCCCTTTGAGGTGAGAACCTGCCGGCGGGGGCCTGGCCGTCGGCCTTAGAGACAGCCCCGCTGTGCATCTGCCAGCAGTCAGAGAGAGGTGCAGCCCCTTCGTGTGGGAGCTGTGCTCTCCCGAGGCCTGCGGGAAGCTTGCTGAGCTGGCATGGATGCATGTGGCTGCTCTGTCACCCTGTCACCAGTATAGGCTGCATCCAAACAAACTGGTTAGCAAGAGTTAAACCCTAGCCCTCACTGTGTTGGGCTGCCTTTACTGCTGGTGGCTGAAAGAGCCCTTGGGGAAGAGAGGGTTGATGGGGACAGCCAGCCTGCCTCCAGAAGCAGCACGGCTCTCCGCAGTGTGCTCCTTCATGTGGTGGTGGTGGTTCCTGAGGGGGCTGCGGGCTGGGCAGAGTGGTGTCTTTCTCTGACCTCTGTCACAGGCTCTGTGTTTCCTTGGCCTAGCTGCATCCATCTATGTGCAAGGCACCCAGCTATCTTGTGGGGAGGAAAGAAAAGGGTGATGGTAAGCTCCCGATGGTTTCTGAGGGTTTGGGTGTTAGTGGTGTGTGCTGAGATGTGCTGGAGCTGGGGGCTGTAGCAGAAATGGCTGGGAGGGGTTCAGCTGAGCCTGTCCTCCTGGTACTGCTGTTGGATCTTGTGGAGGGGATAGCGTGAGCTCTGCTTTTTACTTTGGTACAGAACTGGCAGCTTCCTGCCTTTGGCTCCTGCCGCTCTTGGCTCCCTCTGAGGTGGCCATTCCGCCAGCACGAGCGGCTGAACAGGACACCTGCGTTTGCTTCAGCAGCTTTAGAAGGTGCTGCTGTTCTGTTTGGGCCTCTCTGCTGACCTGGGAGAAGGGCAGGACAGATGGCTCGGTGTGCCACCTGGCTCAGTGTGGATGTGAGCAGCAGGTCAGCCCTTGTGAAACAGCTTGGGCTGCTTTCGGGGGCTATCCTGGCTGACTTGGCACTGAAGTGGAAGAGGGTGGAGGAGGCAATGGCATTCAGGAACAGTGTTAGTGACAAACATCTGGGAGCCAGAAGCTCCTGTGGTGGCTGCAGCAGTTCCTGCGGAGTGCCCCGTCTCAGCCCTAGATCAGGAACAGCTTGTCCCGCTAAGCCCAAAGCCACGTTGATATGACTGCGTCTCTTGTGCTCTCCCAGCCCAAGTTAGCGATTAACGTAAATGCAGGTTTAAATTTAAGGGATGCTGATTTGGCTGTGAGGGCTGACTTTGCCTTCTGCTTCTCGAAGCCAGGACAGTTGTTGGAGAGAGTCGGAAAGTCCCAGCCCCTTGCTGGTCTTGCCAGACCCTGCTCTGAACACAGATCAAGGAGTGCTGAGAAGGCATCCTGGGTTTCTTTCCTACAGCTGACTCACTCTGTTACCAACGCTCTGAGTGCATCTGTAGAAACAGTCATTCCCGTCTTTGCTGAAGAAAGCTGCATTCCTTCTTGAGGCATCTGCTCCTCTGAGAAAACACTGAGGAGGATTGCCCCACCGCAGTCGGAGCAGAAACATTTCAGTCTGCCAAGGAGACCATTGCGAAATGCAGGGGGAGGGAGATGGAGCTGATCAGACTCTCCCTGGTAATCCAGATGTGATTTGTCCCCCAGGTTCTCCAGTCAGTACATCGAGGTGTGACCCCAACAAGCAAAACATGGTGTTATTTGGCTCGAGGGCAGCCGGTAACCGCACAGAAAGCGTGGGGCTGTGTCCAGGAATGAAGGCAAGCATGGGTCTCTTTGTGTTGTGCCACAAGAGGGAGCCCAAGAAATCCCCATAAATAGCTTCCACCAACAGCACCTAACGAAATAAACTTTGCAGAAGGCAAAATACAGCCTTGCTGTACATAGTGCAGTATAATAGAGGTCTCTATGCCTGGCCCCAGCATCCTGTGGTCCTTACAAGGATCTCGTGCCTGTGGTGGCAACAGATATGGGCAGTGCTTTCAGATCTGGGTCTCCAGAGTTAATCTGTAACCTTGGAGTTAGGACCTGATCTGCTATATCCAGTGGAAATGTTTTTCCACTTAATTCAGTGGACTTTGGATCACTTGACTGGCACTGGATTTGAAGTGGTTTTTGGAGTGGATCTTAAGAGCTACTGTCCTCCTTGCAGATCTGAGTAAAACAACGTTCAGATTTCCACAAAGGCAGGGGGAGGCAGAGTCTCTGAGGAACCCTGGTGGGAAGGAACAGGTGTACTGTTAAGCACCTAAAATCTGAAAAGCATGTCTGAAACATGAAAGCCTCTTCCAGGCCACTTTCTCATCAGGTTCAGTAATTTAGGGGCAGTGTCAGCCCTTATTCTGATGTGGCTGGTGTCAGTGCAGTGGCTCAGGGCAGGGACCTGGCCAATAAGTTAAATAAACTGGAAGGAATATGGGAGTTGCAGTGACTTAAATCAGGGGAAGGAAGAACATGACCTAACTCTTCACGAGGCTGAACTCCTTTGAATTCTCCAGCTTGGGGAAGATCTCTGGAGTGGTGTGGAAGGCAGAAGCATTCCTGGGCTCTGATCTTTACCAAAACATTCCTGCGGGTGCCGGAGAATCCCTGTTGTTAACCAAGTGCCGCGCGCCCATGGGAAGAAGCTGGATGTGCAGGTGTGGTGCTGGGCTGCCGCAGAATCTGGCTCTTCCTGGGTCTTCGCAGGAGGCAAGGGGAGGGAAAAGCTTTGTACTTTAGATATCCAGAGGGTTACACAAGCTCGTCATGATGTTTACTGTTCTGGTTTTGTGTTTTCCTAGCACAGGAATTCCCCTTTTTCTGGGATTATTTTGCAAGATCTTAACAGCGACTGAAAATTATGGACAGAGTAGTGCAGGAAGCTCTCCCCTCTCTGCTGGAGGTTAGCATCTGTGGAGCAGAGGTGGATGTGTGCTGCTGCTTGCTCAGCCTGGCTTGCAGTCCAGCATGGTAGCAGATACCACCTTGGTCTGCTTGGCTCACCTAAGCCTCAGCTCACTGCAAATATAGGTGCTGTTCTGCCGCCTATATTCTGGGGGCTGCCTGGGAGCAGTTCAGCCTGAGGTGGGCTCTTTTCCTCATCTCTTCTGCCCACTCAGCCACTCCTACTCGTAGGAAAATGGCCTTTTAAGAGCCTGGGAGGCTGAGTGAAGTGGCACAGCACCTCCAGCGTTAGTCAGCCTAGCAGCAGGATCTAACCTTGCCAAGTACACCCCTGGGAAGTGCAGGAAGAGGGGGGATGAAGATCCCTTAGCACGGCGGGGCAGCGGGGAAAACGTCAGCCAGCTGCAGTATTGCAGTGTGTGGAAACAGGAGTGCAGGAGTAAGGGCCTAAACCTTCAGAGTCCTGAGTGCCCGTAGATGTCATTGATTGCTGGAGAAGTTCTCTCTTGGGAAACATGAAGAATTTATTTGGCATAAGCCAGCTGAAAGAGCTGTAGCAGCGTTACAGATCAGGGCTGCTTGGCGTCATGTGCTCTGACTAATTACTCTCCAAATGTATTATTTAAAATAACCTTAATCCCGTAAAGCGGCCTTTCTGTGCGCTGCCTTATTCAGAAACCCGGTGGCTTTTCTGTGGAAGGGGATCATAGCAACCAGAGGAAAAGTGCTGGCCCACGCTGGCATCAGGCTGAAATTGTCTGCCTTTGATGATATAAAGCCATCCAGCAGTTGCTGGGCTTGTGCTGATCTTTCGGGGCAGGAGCTCTGCAGGTTTCTTCTTTCCCTTCCGCTAGAGGAAAAAACAATCCAGCTGGTGGTTTTGGCCAGTAAATGGCGAGCGGTGCTGTCGTCTGGCGCTCTGTCATCCACCGGCACAAGCCTCCAGCTCTGGCCTGTCATTCCCTCTCTCTCTCCTTTTACAGGTTGATGGACTTCTCTTCTATCACAAGCAGACCCACTATACCCCTGGCAGCACCCCGCTGGTGGGCTGGCTGCGGCCCTACATGGTCCCCGAAATCCTGGGGCTGGCCGTGCCCGCCACTGCGCTCACAGCCAAACCGGACTATGCTGGGCATCAGCTCCAGCAGATCATTGAGAGCAAGAAGAATAAAAAGCTGGCAGCGGAAAAGGGTGACCCGAGCAGCACGGCGGCTGTGAGGAACGGACATTATGAGCTGGAACACTTGTCTACCCCCCAGCCAGCAAACTCTCTGGGAGGCCAGGACGAAGCAGTGAGCCAGATGGAGAATTAGGCTGCTGGGACAGACTGGTTGGGTAAGGAGAGAGCAAAAGGCTCCCTGCTTCCCACTGGTGCTCACACTCCCTGAGAGGGGGCAAAGGTGTAATGATAGGATGGTTTTGTTTAAAGGGCACAAAAGTGGAATATCTTGCTCCAAGTGCCACTGGATTTTTTAATTTTTTTTTTTTTTTTTGCCAGGGCTTCTGTGAGGCTTTAACAGGATTGTCTGTTTTTTTTGCTAAGGCAGTCGTGCGTTGGGAAGTGAAATAATCTGTCCCCACACTGCAGGGTTCCCGGTTCATCTCCTGACCCTGCTTCTGGCAAAGCCTCTGGCAATGCTCCAGCATAGGAACAGTGCTCAGACCTCCGTGGTGCAGCTGCTGCTCGTAACCCCAGCCCCAACGGCAGCCCCGGCCCCGGAAATCGGGGCATGTCCGCCTTTGATCCGGCTGTTTTCCAAGGTCTTCTCAATGAAAGTTTTGTGGTCAGTCCATTTCTAGTAACAAAAAAGTTTGCAGCAGGCTGCTGTAAATCCCAAGGCTGGGCTTTCCACACCCACATCTTACCGAGAAAAATGAAATTTCCGTGCATTGCGGCGGGCCCTGCCTCCCAGCACAGCTTTGTGCAGCGCAAGCGTGGCAGAAGCCTGTACTCGAGGCTTTTCTCAGTGGAGAGAGGAAGGAATGGTTTCGCTCTGAAAAACGCTAGCATTGATCGTGCCAAATAAAAGGTTTCTCAGAAAGACAATTTCTTGAGCGTCTTCCTGCTACCTAAGGGTGGATGCGTGCCGTGCCTCCCAAATAGGGATGGAAAAATCGGTTGCAGCGCTAACTGGAGCGGAGGAAATGCTTGTGGGGGTTTGATTCTCCTCCGTGCACCGAGTTGCTTTGGTCCCTCCCTGCTGCTGCCCCTCTGATCCCAGCCCAAGCCCACTTTACCAGCACTGGCTGCTGCCCGTCCCCAGTTTTAACGGGGATGAAACTATTGTACTCACCATCCCCGGAGGGAGATGGAATACCAGGCTAAACGTGGCACCGGGGAGTCTCCTCTCGACTGTCTATGAAAATGCCCCCGGAGGAGGGCCAGTGTCCAGGAGGAGATACTGAGAGTGGGATGGCTGCCCACAGATAGCGGGGGCACTGATATCCTGTCCTTGCACCCCCCATTTTTTCCCAGAAAAACTATTGATTCTGGGCCAAGCACGTGGGCTGCTTTCGATCATCTGCCTGTGCAGCCGCTATTGGTTTTTTTTATTATTTTTTTAGCATGTGAAGCAACTCGCCTGGGGGACCACCTTGTCCTCCCTGTCCTCCGAAGGCTCTGGGTGGCTCCAGCTGTGGGTTCCCCTGCGTTCGGCCTCACAGGCTGGTAGGGAGAGCCCCAGCCAGGAGACCGAAGCCAGGCTCCTATCAGTGTACTTTTCCTTCCGGCAGGCAATTAAACCCGGAGGTGGGCATCTGGATGTAAAATTTGTGCATCCCTTAGGGCAGAGAAAGCTGCAGCTCAGGTTACAGCCTCCCTGCTGCCCTACAGCAGCTTCCCAAGGTCCTCTGGCGAGGGATGGGAGTGGGCAGGAGAGAAAATAGAGCTGAAGAGGGGCTACTGCTGGCTGCTTACACTGATCGATGGAGGAGAGCAAGAGGGAAGCAACTGGAGCTTTCCGCCGGCTCCAGATGATGCTGCATAGTTTCCCTTTTAAAAGCATGAGCTGGGTTGGAGGAATAAATATTTGTGTTATGATTCCTGTGGGAAACCAGCGGCTGTGTTTGGAGAGAGGGTGTTAAACGGAAGTCACTGGGGCCAGCGCAGTTTGTTGCTGTGACTATTTTATTTGCTGGGTGCGATCCTGCTCCCAGCTGCTCCCTGCCCTGCTCCCAGCGGGACCAG